GACAAGGCCACACGAGAATTTTTAACAACATAAAAATACGCCTATCAATCTATCTCTAAGTAACACAGTCAAGTTATTTTAACTCTTTTCTTGGTCTTAATTATTATCATTACTGTTGACTAAAATGAACAAGGGAATCTCTCGAGAACTTGTAAGGCCTCTTTGATATTGGGCCTTCTCTGTGATATTGGAGAAGCACAAGCTAGGCCCATTTTCAAACAAGCCAACACAGCTTCTTCTTTGCCTTCTAACTCAGCCCGTATAGCCGCGTCCGCCATGCGTATCGCCCGCTCACGGTCATCGATCACAAGCCCATTAACCTGCCCAAGCTCGTCGACCACCACGATCTTTCCCGTAAGTAACTCAAGCAGAATAACTCCAAACGAGTACACATCCCACTTCGGGTTCGGTTTTATGCTCCGGAGAGATTCTGGAGCGTTGTAAGATAACCCGACCGAACTCGGGCTTGGGCTTGGACTAGGCCCAAACTCATGAGACGTTGTGGATCTCTTGCTTCCGAATATTGGAGCCGATCCACCGGTTCTATAACTCATGTCTCCAATCAAAAGCTTTTCAAGTCCGAAATCCGCAACTTTGGGTTCCATATCTAAGCCCAAAAGGATATTACTAGGCTTGAGGTTACCGTGCACGTACTTCTTGTCGTGGATGTACGTTAGCCCACGAGCTATACCTTTTGCTATCTTGAGCCGAGCTTCCCAAGGTAAATGACAAGGCGAGGAGCCCACTTTCCCTGAAATTGGAAAAAAAGTCTCGGAAATTAGGTGAAAGACGGACATGTGCACGTTAGCAAAACCCTCACTGCTACTTATCAAATAGAAAATGACAAAAGCAAAGCAAAAGTCTTGCATCTATCAATGCATAAATACAAAATCTCTATATATGGACATAACAGAGAGATTTCACTGAAACAGAACTGTCGCTATCTTGCGCTTGAGATAGCTTCAGGCCTGGATAGCTTACGATAAGAAAAAAAAAAATCAGTTTTCGAGAATTGCCGTTGACTTTCCTCCGATCATTAACTGACATACTTTTTTAGTTGGAACCAATCTCTCCGACTCCGAAACCGACACTTTTTACTCTTCCGCGCTCAAGTTAGCTAACTAATACGTAATCCTACTAACGTAAGCGTGTTATATATAACAGAGATAACGGAAGAAAAGGACTTACTGTAACGGGCGTTAGCGAGACTGCCGTTAGGGACAAAATCGTAAATAACGAGTTTCTCATCGGATCCCCAATAGAAACCACGAATTCGAACCAGGTTCGGGTGAACCAGTTTAGCCACGGCTCTAACCTGAGTCTCGAAATCTCTAAACCGGTCTAAACCGCATTCAGCAATACGTCGAACCGCCACGGCCGTACCGTCTTGAAGAACCGCTTTATACATTATGCTCGAACCGGTGGCTCCCAAAATATAAGCCGATGCTTTGAGAAGCGTTTCGATTTCAAGCTCTTTCTCTGAATCGAGATTCACTAACGTCCCTTTCTTTTCTTGATCATCCAAACCGGATCGTCTATTTTGCCCGATCCGGTTCTCTTCGTCGGATTCGGATCCTGACGTACCGGATTCCTCCTCGTCTTCTTCACAGTCGCCGTCAACGTAAACGGTTTTGCGTAAACAGTACCATTTCGACACCTTGGAATCAGTTGATGACGTGGACCATTTTGACGTAGCCGTTACGGTCTTCCGTTTTCTCGACTGGTAAATGTAGAAAACCACAATCCCGAGGATTGATAAACCGGCGATGTCACCGACAACGATACCTATGATAACCAACGGTTTAAGACCCGATTTGGAATTTGAACCGGTTTTGGTGTTAATTGGGTTATTGGTTAAGCCAATGGTATTTGGTATAGCGGCTAAAGCCGGAGGAGAATTTGGTGTTGGTGATGGAGGCGGAGAGGTTGTTGCTTCGCCGTTACGGCAAGGATGCTTTGCCGGGTCGGATCCGCATAGACCCGGATTACCCGAGAAAGAATCGGATTCTTGATTACCGAGGACCCGAAAACCCGGGATTTGACCCGTAAGTTGGTTAAAGGAGAGATCGACGGTGGCGTTTTCCGGTATTTCGTCGGCGAAACGCGACGGAATCTCGCCGGAGATTCTGTTATACGAAACGTTGAAATAACGTAAACGATTCCCTCGGAAATCTAAAGGTAACGAGCCTTTGATTAGATTCGACGAAAGATCAAGATACTCCGTCGACATAAAACCACCGGGAATCTCGCCGGAGAAATAGTTTTTCCTCAGTGAAATCTCCGTTAAGTTCCGATACCATCCCAAATTCTTCGGTAATTCACCGACGAAAGCATTGTCGGAGAGATTCAAAACATTGAGTCTAGAAAACGCGCCAAATCTCGCCGGTAACTTGCCGGAGATGTGATTACACGAAAGATCAAGAAACCGAAGCTCCGTCCCGTTGAGAAGCGAAACCGGGAAAGACCCATTGATCGAATTGTTGGAAAGGTCGAGTCTTTGAAGCGAACTGAGAGAACCCAAATCGGAAGGTAGTGTTCCGGTGAGATTCGAGCTCGGAAGTGAAAGAACAGTCACGTGCCGGGAAGATTCATCGCACGTGACACCACGCCAAGAGCAAGGATCGTCGTCTTGGAATCTCCAGCTCCGTAAAACAGAGAGAGGATCGTCGACGATCGAGTAACGGAAAGAGAGGAGAATAACACCGTCAGTGTTCAGAGCAAGAGAATGTTCACAAAGAAGGAAGGGCAAAACGGTAATTATGAAGAAATAACGGCGGAGATCGGCGGCGACTGTCGTCATTGTTCGTCAAGGTTATGCATCATCACTTAAAAGAGAGGATTTTTTTTTTTTGAGTTTGAAAAAGGCATATGTGAATGTGAGCGATATGAAAGTGTTTATCTTTTTATGGAATTCTTGATTTTACGTATAAAAATCCTATGTAAAAATTGCACGGAATGTGATAACAAAAATTAAATATATTTTCCTATTTATGCTGACGTCTCATTTGTCGTTTATTACCTTTATAATCAACGTGGACCCTATAGTATACGGTTCATCATTATTTAAAACAACGTAACAGTGTATAGCATATGAATCTGGATATTTGTTTTAGGATACAAATCTTTTGCTAGATCACAAAAACTATATAATATAATATTTATATATTCCTTTTGATATATAGTAATGTTTTAGACAAAAATGTGACGTGAGATGATTATGCATGTCATGTGATATGTGTGAATAAAATTATGTAGTTTGTATTATTAATCAAGAAAAATTATATCCAACAAACATAATCTGATAATCATATGGGAGAATAGTATCTTTGCTATAAGACATTCACAAAAGTTCGAAAAAATTGCAGGTCTCTCACTGACTTGGATTTACTTATATATGACCGTTTATTCTTGTTTTTTCATTAGACTTAATTTAATAATGTTTCTCTGATCATCGTACAACTTATAGATATAGGCTAATTAAACTAATAGTGAATTCGTTATGATATCAATTTTGTACAGGAAACAGATTAACACAGAAGAGACAGGGATAACGTTACTAGCTACATCTACATTACATTAATTAATAATATTCAGCAAATATTATATAAATTTCATGTAATCTTTGCTTTTTTAAGTTAGAATTCTACATATACCCAAGATCTGAAGGTTCTTGTTAATAGAGTGGAATTAGACATTGGAGGTTTTGGTTATATGAAGAAGTCGGTTTAGTTAACTAGATCTTTATGGAAATTAACTTTATATACATAGTTTAACATGTATGATAATAATTCCAAATGATCACGAGACTTATACTGATTGAAAGAGGAAATATCGAAAAAACTATACAGTTACATGTTACATCAAAAAGATATAAATGGAGTACTGGATCGACGAAGAGGTCAACATCACACGTAAATTAAATGCATGTCAAGATTAATGTACAACCGGTCAAATTAATTAAAACCGGTCCCCGTTTTAATTAATTTTTTCGAGCGTCATTGTGGTCCTTTTTACATATTACTATTTGATTGCCAAATCACAAGATTTTTTTTTTTTACATACATGCTGAATTTTGTTGTTACATGAAGCATCAAATTTGTTTGTAACACCATTTGTCACAATTGCTGATATGAACATGTTTTCGTAAAAGCAAACCAATGATTAAGGTCACTGGACCAAAACAATTGATATATAGAGTGTGGTCCTAATTGAAAAAAACACTTCACAGAATGTGGTCCTAATTGAAATATTAGAAATTTATAATTGTCAAATTTGCGGCCAAACTCCATTTGCCAATTGGGATAATCCATATGAGTTTTGTAATGTAAATTCTTCAACACTAGTATTTCGC